GTCGATGGCGACGTAAGACAAGGGCGATGGGAATGGGGAGAAGGCGCATGCTCCAGCCGAGAATGGTGTCGGCGTGTGTGGGCCAACGAGGCAGGGGCAAGCGGGAGGGTACGTGCCTCTCTCATACGAAAGAGCCTGGGGTTAGTGTAGTACTGCTTAAGGCAAGGCGGCGGCATCCTGCCCAGTCTCTGCTGGACTCGCTACCAATACCATCGAGAACGAGGGGAGGAACTTATCCCCCTCTGTCCCTTACCACGGAGCTGAGGGTTGGCATGGCTGCTCACCGGACTATGCGTTTTCTCTTCAGCGTTGGCCTGGCTCTGGTCACTGTAGAATGCAGACCAGGTCTTTAGGCAGGGAGATAACCCTATCGGGCACGGTTTAGGTACATTAAATGACGGTATGTGATAATGGTGTAGCTATTGATGCAATGGCAATGATAGATGGTAAACGGATAACCCACCGCTTACGATCAGCAACCAGAGAAGTCACCCGCCTGACCTGCTCAGCTGTATAACGGGCGTATTTAACCACACTCGCAAGTTGCCCCAGGGAAATGACTTGTTCACCCTTGCCGACTCTAGTAAGATAACAGCCGCCAGAGGCATCCGGATATCTGTTAAATATATCCTGGAATAAAGGGTCGGTTGCGTTGTTTGCCGAGTTAAAAGTGAGCCGGACGCCGGGTTCGAGCTTGGAGGCACACATGGGGGTGGATGTGGTAAGACCTAGTAGGCGGTAGACGTGAGGTAATCTGGTGTAGGTAATGGTTGCGAATTCGGGAAACTACGTGACGAACGCGGAAGCTAGGAAAAAAACCAGCCCTACATAGTATAAAGCACAGGGGTGACCGATAAACGGGTAAAGTTGGAAGTCCTTTGTCATGGCAGCGATCACACTAACTGATGGAGCCACCAAAATACTAAAAGGATTATCGGACAGGTCACATTGTTCACCAACCAGAGTTGGGCGGACCAGTAAAAAAACCGACAGCAAGAGATAGCTGCCCGGAAGACAGAAATATACTTAGAAAGATCGGATGTTGCCGCAAAGGAAATCAACAACGTAATGTTAGCGCTACTTACAAATGGTTAACCATATCATTATGTTATATATACATAAAAATCAAAATTTTACCAAAGCCCTGATAGCCCAGTGGATAAGGCGTCGGCCTCCTAAGCCGGAAGTCCCGGGTTCGACCCCCGGTCAGGGTTATATAGATATATTTTATGATTGATATTTTCATTTTTTTACTGTGGTTGGGACTGAATTCGACCTCCTTGCTGTGTTAGGTGTTGAGCACTAGGCTATTTGGACATTTTTGTACCCAGCACACAGCTTAACCAGTAAATTTATATGAGAATACGATTAGCAATTGGTGTCAATGGGCTAGTCTCCCATGGTCAATTCCTGCCAAACTAAAGCAGCGGGCTGAACTTTCAGTTCATTTTTTCTAGCAAGAATGTGCGGTAGAAGGCGTTCCTGTATTGTCAGTTATGCCAGACTGGCATGCTGACCTACCATAGCAGGCTTACCCTTACCCTTCTTGCCGTCCAGAAACTGGGCGTAGCTGAATTGAAGGGTGGTGGGAGTGTAAGGTACGAGGGATCCGCGATAGGGTTAACCCAGCGGGCGAGATTTGCGAGGTGGGATTGGGTGCAATAAGCAAGGTGGGGGTTAGGGTTAGCATGGGGTCCAAGCAGACTGCTGACCAGCTCCGCTGTGGCGTCGATAATAGCCACCAGATATTCTACAGGGCCACCTCGGGTTGGCTACTTACACACTGTGCAGACGGCGGGCCTCGTCGGCGGTGAGGGACGGTTTGGTCTGCGCAAGCGATCCTTGTAGATGCTCCTTACGTACCGTCTGCAATACGAGGTAGTGGAGGGGCGGGTGTTCGATAGGGAGCCGAGTTAGGGAGGTCGGCGGTTTAACTGCGGTCGGGAGACACCCTGCAGACTGGAGACGAAGGGTTTAAGGCCAATAGCATGAACTTACCGGTAGAACCGTCGGGGTCGCATCGCTGATGGTTGCCGAGGCCGCCCTGACGATGGTGTCCTTGTCAACGCTGAGGATTTGGTCGACCTGGGTAGCGAGGTTTGGCGTGGGGCGTGGCGAATAAAAAGTGGAGGCGGTACATAAAAGTAAGCGTGAGTTGGGAGGAATCAAATAATTCGGTACGAGGGGGGGGGCAGCTGAGGAAATTTTCTACCGTGAACCGGGCCGTTGGTCGCTGAGTAGGATGTTGAAGCGGCCCAGGGCCAAGCTACGAAGGGGATAGGTAGGTATAATATTGGCCTGGGTGTTCGATCCCTGGCTTAGGTATTCGCTTGGCCCCCGAACGGCCATTTAAAAGCCCAATCCGGCAGCTGCCTTTTTCGACTCAGGGTGCAGTTGGTCTCACCTTCCGTGCCAAGTCCTGCATGGCCTCCCGATCTGTGGAGCTGGTGCGGGTGCCCTTTTGTACCACGTGGAAGGGCTGGGATAGCGAAGTCCCGGTCACTTCGGGTGCGTCAGATGATACTGTCGGAGAGGACAACGAGTGGGCGTGGACGGCTTCGAGGTAGGCGTTATAGAGAAGCGCCTGAAGGTCAGCCCCGGTGAATCCGGCCGTTTGGTCGGCGTAGGGCTGCAGATCAAGGTCGTTGTCGAGTCGGACCGTACGAGCAACTTTGCGGAGGATCTGGAAGTGAGGGGAGGGGAGGACGATATATATATATAGAAAGATTAGTAGCGCAGGAACCAGGTGGGTCTCGATCCTTGCTAATACGGCAAGAGCCCGGAGGCGTTACGAGAACGGATGAAGGTTGGTCGGTGAGCCCCGTACTTACGTCGAGCCGTTCTGTGGCGTCGGGCAGACCGCATAGTAGGGCCTTATCCAATCGACCAGGGCGAAGAAGGGCCGGGTCGATCAGGTCCGGTCGGCTAGCAGGAACGGGAGGGGGGGAGTGGAAAGGCGAGTGTGAACCGTAGTTGAAGAGAGAGTGCGTCGATGGTATCCGTCAGCCAGTTGTTAGTTGGGCCTGGGATGAGGGCGAGTGTCGAAGAGCGCACCGGGTAGACGAGGCAGCTGGACGGACCGACCGAGGCGAGGATTTCATAGGATCGACCGATCAAAGCATCCGCTAGCAGGCGGATATACGGTGACGAGGTCAGCTCATACAGCAAATAAGAAAAGGCACTAACGCCATCACCCCTCCTTTGCATTCCCGGGGGCCTACTTACCTGGTCGCCGCGAGGACATAGACGCCCTGTAGACCCTCAGCACCATCCATTTCGGTCAGGAACTGGTTGACCACCCGGTCCGTAACACCGGTATTATCGTGGCCGCGCCGCGGAGCTACCGCGTCTAGCTCATCAAAAAAGAGTACACAGGGTCGGGCGGCCGAGGCGCGTTTAAACAGGTCGCGGACCGCCTGCTCGCTAGCCCCAATGTACTTGTTGAGTATCTCGGGTCCCTTGACGTAAATGAAGTTTAGCCCGCACTCCTTGGCTACCGCCGAGGCCAGGAGGGTCTTGCCGCAGCCCGGGTAACCGTACAGAAGAATACTGGTTAAGTAAGGTGGATGGAGGTGACGGATGGGAGGGGTGACAGAGGGGTGGATGAGTGAACGAGAGACGAAAAGGGTGAAACCCAAACATGTCAGTTGAGCGCGCAGTGTAACGATCAGTTGGTATAGCACCGTTCGTAACCCACAAGGATATTCCTCTCACGGACAACCATCCTCCCGCCGTCTTGCCTTTCACGGCATAAGGGGGGGCCACTTACCCAGAGCGCAGGCGGAGCGGGCACTTGGCAAAAATTCGGGCAAATTTGGCGGGTAGCTCAAGGGTCTCAATCAGGGCACGTTTGGTATCGTGTAAGCCACCAATATCCTGCCATGATACGGCCGATTTGAAGAGGCTGACTCCACGGAGGGCGGCCGGCACGTACTCGCGCAACGCCCGGACCAAGTCGATCGGTTCCAGCCGCGGGACCCGGTGAGACCGGGCGGCACGCATCAGGGCCCCGTGGGCAGCGCGGTCGAGAAGCGCCCGCAAATCGCGGGGCATGTATCCCTCGGTCTGTTGAGCCACGTCGGCCAAGTCAACCTCAGATGCGAAAGGTACGGTACTGGTGGCGGATCGGAGGGCTTCCAGCATTTGCTGACGGACGATCCGGTCGGGGGCTGGGAGCTCAGTGGCCCGGCTAAACCAGCCAACCGTCTGGGCGTGGACGCGGCGGCGGTCAGCAGCGGTGGCCAGCAGGAGAATCCCTCGGGCGTCGTGCGCACGGACCCACTGGCCGACCCGATCGGCAGCTCCGTCCGTGGTGGCGGCCAGACCTGCAGATCCGCCCCCGAGCTCAGTGACGGCCGGGAGCAGACTGTCCAAATCGTCGAGAACCACAAGGGTCGGACCTCCGGTCGCCACCCCGGCGTCCAAACGGGCCAACAAATCGGCCACAGGGGCCGGTGCCGTGCCATCCGGGCCGTAGCGGTGGCCCAGGGTGCGACAGGCTACCCAACACACGGCCAGGTAGGGATCCCGCCGGGTCAGCTGGTGAGCCAGCCAGCGGACAGCGGTAGACTTACCCGCACCGGGCCGACCTGTGAGTAGGAGTCCGGTCCCGCCGGCCACAGCCACAGCCACCCCGGGGTGAGCCGTCTCGCCTCCGTGCTCCAGATAACGGCGTTGGGTCTGGAGGAAATTAGTCAGGCCGCCCAAGGGCCCTACGGGGGGCAGGTCGGTGGCGGTGGTGGCTGGCGAGTCGATTTCCCCGCGCATTACGGTCACCTTTAGGGCCGAGAGGGTGTCGGCCGTGTCGAGCACCACAAAATCTGCGGGATCCGGGCCGTCCCAAGTAAGCTGAACGCAACCAGCTTTCTCTACCGGCCCATCGGCGGGGGTTAAGAGCTGGCCGCGGGTGAGGACGAGGGGGCTGGTGTATGATGTTGCGGCACGCAAGGCGGCTGTAAACGTGGCGGTCATGTCGGGCGTCGCGTCCGGCCCGGTAAGAACCAGCGTCTGTGGCTTGGTGGGCGTGGCGCGGGCCCGGCGGATCTTGATCGGGGCAAGGTGGCCGACCCCCCATCGGCCCACCGCCAGCCAGGCAGGGGCGAGGAGGTGGCCGGGCTCCACAGCAGGATCGGGGCGGAGGCGAACGTAGAGGTCGTGCTCCGACTGATCTGCAGGGGTCAGTCGGAAAATGGGGTCGCTGTGCTCCCCGAACCGGGCTAGGGTAGCCGGGTGGATCCCCAGTGGTCCAACGGTAACCTCGCGCCAAAGGAGTGTGGTGTGCTCCGTCACGGTTGGATCGACTAGAAGCCGGGCCACGACGCAGGTACGGGGGACCGCTGCTTCACCACTCGGTTGCACGCGTGGCCGTCGTAATTTGGGCGCGATAGCAATCTCGGAGGCATCCGCCAGAAGGGCATAGGGAGCGTCGGGATCCAGCGTAGCTACATGAGGTCATGGACAGGGCGGAAAGGGGGGGAGGTGTGCAAAATGGGAGTTAGCGGGGATAAGCAATAGAGAAGGTGCAAGGAGTGGGTATATCTCGCTATCACACCAGGTCGCCCGCATGAGCGGTCGGCAACACGTAACGGCTCGTAAAACTTACTCGTCCGTAGCCGCACCACGGTGGACGGGTTCACGTAGAAGGTGACGGGCTGGTCGGCGCCGATCAGTCGAACCTGGGACAGCAGGGTTTGTTCGATGAGGCCGGCGTTCAATTCGATGATTTCCCAGTCGTCGCTGGCCAGGGGTTCCATCTGAGCGCTGCGACAGGTCGGCACGTCGGGCAGGGCCTCTACATTTACGGTGGTGCCTGTTGTAAGCCCCAGGGCGCGACCGAAGGCGGTGTCGAGTTCGAGAACGTGCAGCGGGTGGTTCGTTGTGATGGCGGTGTCGCCCAGACTGGTCTGGCTGATGTGCCCCGACCAGCTGACGAGGGCCGAGCGGGTCGTGCCGCCGCTGCCGTCAGCGGAAGGCCAGGTGAGGCGGACGGTGACGGCGTAGGGCCCGACCTGCTTGACCACGTCGCTGTCCCATAAGGGGTGGGCCCAGGCGGGCGGTAGGTTGACAAAACACGTCTGGAGCGGCACGAGTTGCACCGTGGCGGTCTCGGTCATGTCACGATGGTGGTGGTGGTGGTAGGGGGGTGAGAAGTCGAGTTCGAAGGGACGGAGCAGTCGCGGATGGCGTCCTGGGCGGGGACAATGCGGAAGGTTTG